TTTTTTAAAATTAAACAGAATAACAAGTACTCTTTGAACGAGTTAACATTTCCTTCCCTATAAGACTTGCAAGAAATTTCGTAGCATAAATCGTGAGCATGCTACATTCTGCTATGTGAAAAGCATCATTTTCGAAGAAGAACAGTAACTTACTAAAACCCTGAAAAATTTTTTCAGCTTTGCCTGATCGGATAACCTAAAACCGTTCTGTTAAACCTTAGATAGCTGCAAGCATATCAATAACTACTACCTAAATGGTGGCATCTACGCTGACACGCGGAGGAAGAAAAAAGTCTAGTTGCAATTTGAAGGCTTCATTCATATAACCGTCTATTTTTATAGTATTTTTATAAACTAAGCAGCTAAACTTACTTGAGGACCGCCGATTTGTGAAAAGTTGCTCATTAAGCCTTAGAATATTTTTGCATCTGACAACTTCATATAAGCTCATGCATCATTAAATCTATATGACTAAAGACTTGATACATGTGCGGAAACAGCTTGATTGTATTACAGATCGCCGGCAGCAGATCGATGGAGGTTTTTTGGAACGTCGAGATAGCTTATACGGTAATTTCTGGCAAAAGTGCGCTTAGTCGTTCTTCTCCTCTCTATCTCCCAAAGAGCCTTTAGGCCGAATGTAGCAGTATTTGAGTCGCTAGTTCAGTGTATGTAGGCCGTGTGAGGCTGCCTGGATGGTTGACGCCGTGATGAGTACCGTAGTCGCTGTCGCTTCCGCCTTCGCGCTTTCACGGACACGATGTTGGTGGGTGATGTTGGTTGAGCGCGGCTGCGATGAGGAACGCCGTGTCGGGTAGGACGCTGGAGTGTTCACCTACAGTATGCTCCGAGCTCCCAACAGCAGCATCGATTGTCTCAGGGGACCTGACGGAGCAAAGAGATAGGATCTCATTATTTGACTCTCCCGCGTTGGTCAGCATGAATTTGGGCATTCAGACGCAATGCTTGAGTTTTCCTTTTAGACAGTTTCTTGTCGTCGAATCAGTGGCAGTTTGTGCAGCTCACTAAATTACTGCATCGCGGCCCTTCTTCAGACACGTTACACGTTAATTGATGGCTTTGCAGATACTACGCGATCCTTCGAGAACATTATCGCTCGAATGAGCAACTTGCACAGATGTTAGTCTATATTCATGCAATGTTTATTGTAGATGCTAGACGACACTGTTCAAAGATTTGAAACAAGACCTTATGGGTACATTGCCCAG